GCCCAGCCCAGCCCAGCCCAGCCCAGCCCAGCCGCCAGACTGGCCATGCCTCATCAGCAGCAGGAGCAAGAAGATGGTGAAGGTCAGCTGGGGTGGTGGAGAAACGATTAAGAGCCCAATAAAACGTATATTTTTTCCACACATGTAAATTTTTGGGGACAATTCTATGCAAGCCTGATCAGAAGTATGTCCAGCCAATTTTTTAACTTTTGGAAATTTGGCGAGCCAGTTGAGAGCAGAGCTGAGACATATAGGGTGCTGATCAGCTGTTTGGCAGCTTGCTGCACGGCACAGCGGCAGCCACGGAGCCAGCAGAGCCGGCTGTTATACATTTATCAGCACACCATTTCGTATGTCCCAATCAATTCAGTGGGATTTACTTCTAGGGAAGTCCTCACAGAATTGCCAGGTCACTGAGCCTTCACAGACATTAATAGTAAATGAAGTCCAGTCACTAGAACATCTACTGCTAAATATGTTCCTATTCAAAAGAATTAACAGGAAAGGAAACGCAAGAAGGGACCGAGCATTAACTTTCAGAAATTTAAATATTCTACATGAAAGTAAAGTGGAACATACGTTTAATTTATGTTAAAAAAAAACACCCTATTTCATCTATCTGCTGATCATACTTCTGACCTTTTAAAGGATCAACATAGCATGAATTTTGATAAACGTTTCTTTCTGATAAACTGCTGTCTAACTTTAAGATATGTCTCTTCTAACTCCTTACCTCCTGAATGGCTGTCATGACCACATGTTGAACAGACTCCTCCATCATCATGATGGTCTGAATATACTCTGTAAGAGAACAATTTTGGTATGCAATCATTCATGCTTAGAAAATTCAGAAGGATAAACAGTCCAGTACTCCAACAATACCAAAACGTCCATTTTTCATTTAGTATGGGTGAATTTTTCTCTTTAAATGTATGTGTGACAACATAAACATTCTTCAAAGGGATTATTTCTGAGCAATAATAGGGAGAATGTCTCTCTGCTACAACTATGTTACTAGCCCTGATGCAATACTAATGCAAATACATGCACATGAATTGAAGAATGGAAGCTTCAAGTGATGAATGCTTGAGTAAATTACAGGTCACTCGGGCTAAAGATGCATATTTATATTCTGTATTTTAATTACTGTTAGCCATATTAAGTATTCAGCTAAGTAGAAAGGTGCAATATAAAGTGAGCGAACAAAGATACACAAATGTCTCATTAATTAAAACTTCTTTTGCATTCCTCTATGAAAGGGGTGGGAGTAACAAAACCGAAACTGATTATCAAGAAGACTCTCATAAGCAAGTCTAATAAATTTCACTCCTAACAGATAATTATAGGTGTGTTCTTTAAGTAAAGACCACACAGAATGACACAGTAGAAATAGCCAAGTAAAAAGCTTTGCACACATATCTTTCCATCCTTTAGAAACACAGATATACAGAAACAATCCACCATCACCACCACCACCCCGCTTCGAATACTTCATACAATAGTTCCCAAACTTATCAAACCTCGATTGCATCTGGGCCTGCAAATATCTGTCATGACAGTCTGGTCATGGCATGACTGGTGAGGACAAGTTCCAGCTAGCCTTGAGTACAGGTTGAATCATGTTGCAAAATCAGTTTTATAACAGCAACTGAGGGAAGGAAAATATAAATGTCTATATTCTCAAACTGCATCATCCTATGGTATCTTTTCCAGTACACTGAAATATGTAGCTGTAAGCAGTTTAGTGAGAAATTTACCTTTTTAATGCTCATTTTGATTATCCTAATAGAAAACAGGTTCAATAGAACACAACACACTAGTTTCATGTGGAAATATGAGACATATAAAGTTCTTTTTAAAGAGTTATGGGTACCAGCACACCTAACAAAATCTTTTCCAACCTACCTACTGCCTTCCAGGTATGTCAAGAGTAGAACTCCCTAAATTCCTGACCAGCATGGCTTTTGGAGATAAATTCTAGGAGATGCGATCTAAGTATATTTGGAGGGCACTACATTGTAGCAGGCAGTACTATTTAATAATACATATATTTGATTTATATCTCACCTTTCTGCTTTGGCAAGCACTTAAACAGAGTTAATTAACAGAATATAGCAATTTTTGTAGCGCAGACCATATCAGCATACTGTAAGAGCCCTTCAACTCTTAATTTATCACTATGTATCTCACACAGCTACTGCCTTTTACTTCTGCCTCCTGACAATGAAAAGACCAGTAATTTGGGTGGAAACAGCAAAAAGAATAATAGAACACACAGTCAAACAATGAAGCAGTCTGCTGTCAGTATACTATTTAGAGAAATAAACGGTGATGAAAAATAGTGATATCAAGCACATTAAACCAGTAGGGCCTGGGCATTTAAGATGTATCCTACTCTTAAACCAATGCTATGAACCACAAAAAGATCAGTTTGAAATGATTCAGAAGAAGTGCTTTGAATGTAGGCAAGCACAGCACTTCTCAAGTACTCATTACAGTAGTCTGAACAAAAAGAAGCCGCTGCTTTAAGGATTCCCATGCAAATCTAAAAGCACCAACACCTTTTTTTCCAGGCTGGCTCACTACTGAGTCATAGAATGTCTCACAGAAGACACTTAAACTAATTGCCAATTTTCTTAACGCTCACCAAAGAAACTGGAAAAACAATGTCAATGATGTCTGTGTTGATAAAACAAACAAAAGGTGTGTGTCCAGTTTGAATAATGTACCATTTAATAAAATGCCAACTAACCTTGTTTTTGTTCACAATTTACAGCACAGCCCAAAATAAGCTGAAGCATTCGCCCAAGCTCGGCTGCATCTGAGTGCTCCCCAATCAAGTTAACATCAGGAAGGATAAAATCATTAATCTGCTGCCCCAAAATCTGTGCAAGAATAAAAATATATTAGCTGATTTCCAGGTTTCAGGGCCAAAGTAAACAGAATTGCATCAAATAACTGTAAGCTAATGAGAGGCAATGGTATTATTCATTCTGTAGAGAAACTACCAGCCAGATGTATAAATCATCCCTTCCTGATTTTATTCTGCAAATATATTTTGCTAAGCAGTTAACAGAAACCTTTTGTTACTGTTACTCTTATATACCTGTCTGCTATTGATAAAATCTTCATCCCCACACCAGGCGTCTAGCTAAGCTCTCTAGCTGAGGAGTTGTCAAAATGGTAGGGTTGTTCTTAAGTAGCTCAAATCCAGAAGGTAGCTTCTCTTTACATAGCTGATGCTTCATGCTACTGACTATTCATTGCCATACAATGCTTATTCAGGCCCACTGTAGAGGTTTGGCTGAGACACATTTCCACAACAGAGCCAAGCAGTACTGATAGTCCTCAACTTATGACCCAATTGGGACTGGAATTTTGGTTGCTAAGTAATGTGGTTATTGAGTCATGCCCAATTTTATTACTTTTGCCATGGTCATTAAGCAAATCACATGGTTGTTAAGTGAATCATGTGATCATTAAACAAATCCAGCTTCCCCCATTGACTTTGCTTGTCAAAAGCCCCCTGGGAAGGCCGCAAATAGTGATCACGTGACTCCAGGATACTGCAACCATCATAAATAAATGCCAGTTGCCAAGTGCCTGAATATTGATCACATGACTGTGGAGATGTTGGAACGGTTGTAAGAGTGAGGACCAGTCATAAGTCACTTTTTTCAGCACATCATAACTTTGAACGGTCATTAAATGAATGGTTGTAAGTCGAAGACTACCTGTAGTGCATATGAGCTGGCACTAAGACCAAATCCTTTTATTTGAAATCCAAACAAACAACATTCTTTAGGTGTTAACCTGATTTAAATAATCTTTTTTTAACATAAACACCCCCCAAAAAATTAACAAAAAAATACTATCAAGATAAAAAAGATCCTCTAGAACTCTCTCCTCTAGAATTGCTAGTAGTTCCAGCACCCATCAAAAGCAGTAAACATAGGATATTTTGATTTAGAAGAATTAATATAGGGTTTTTTCCCCTCTAAAATAACCACCAAAGTAATGAAACAAGATTTACTAAAATGCTTTACCAGAGAGTTCAAGAATGCATTTACTCTCCCATTCTTTTTATGAAATCAGAATGGAGCACATAAGTATTTAAAGTGAAAAGCTTTCCAGTGGAAATAATCAGAATTTCATTCAGTGTTTTTTTAATGAGACAAAACTATCAACAAAAGCAATTTTTGAGGCATCAAACTTAATTCAAATTTCTTTTAGGAGACAGGAAATTTTATTTCACCAACAAAACTATGTAGCCATCCTAGCCAATTCAGATTAAGGAGAGATCATTGAATAGAAGAACACTGTCATTTTATGTATTTACCATATTCATTAAGCCAACTACTTTATATCAAGAATTTTGTTAAATGTGTTCAAGACCATCATCTTCACTAGACTAATAAACTATATACCAGTTTTTAAAATATGCAAGCCTGCAACAAAGCATGTTAGGCATTTAGAAAAAATGGTAAATGCCCACAGAGGAGGAAAAATTACTCTTTTTTTTAATATATTTTAAATTTAGGCAAGATATTTTTAAAAAGATATCTAAAATCTTTAAAACGATTATAGCAATAATTCTTATCTATATATTATACTAGCAGAATGGAATATATTACACATAATAGTTCTTACTTCATGGTTGTAATCCAAAATTCCTTTTAAAATTTTCTTCAGATTGCTCACCTTAAAGGAAAACAATTATTTAGAAGTTAAAAAAAAGTTACCCTGAAATACAATTAAAACTGAAGTTTACTCTAATTTATTATACCTTAAAAGCAGAAGAGATTTTTTGTGTTTTGTGGGGGGTTTTTTGCCAAAAAAGCCAGTAATCAAAACCACAAAATTATGATTCCATACTTCTCTGATTTCTAGATTCTATTTAGCCACAGGAATACAGAAAAATCAACACACATAATGGTAATTGTTTATACCTCTGAATTTGGATTAATATTCCCATACGGTTGTTTTATATAATGATTATTTGAATCAAAACTTAAAACTTATTTTGACTATCACTATGAGTACAAAATATATAACGGCAAAGATTAAAAGCCATTTGTTCACAGTATAGGCTTATTGGGATTAGCATAACTTCCAAAGAAGCCTCAGCTACAGCACTAGCAGTCGTTTCTGATTAGGGGGGAAGCGCCATGTTCCCAGGCACATGAAAGCCATTAGATGTGCCCGAAAGGATTCTTTCAGTTAGGGTTTCTTTGTTCCATTTTTGAAATATTTTGGGCCATCCCAAAGAAGTCCATTAAACTTTATGGGTTTTTAATAACTGGAAAACAAGATGTAAAGATACTGTTTACTATTACCCTTTGCTTCCAACTTTTAAACATTTCTCATTATAAACTAGACCCTACATATGTTTTCTTCCTCAATTTCCTGTAAAAACTAACTCCAAAAATGACATTTTTGGCAAAGTGTCAAGACCAATGAAAGGGAACTCAGTATTGCAGCAGCATCTAGCAGCTGAAGGAAGCAAACTTTCTGCATAAACATGAACAATTTCAAGCAAGTTATTTTTAACCTAAACAAAGAAAAGTATGGTGCCAACTTAGGATGTGGTCTTGAGTCCCAAATAATAATAAAAGTCCAATTCAACCATGATATTGGATTGAAAACAATGAAATGAAGAATTCCAACTGAAAAATATTTTTGCTGCTCTTTGGGAAACATAAAATTCATTACAACACACATATCATGGTTCTGCAATGTTAATTATTCTTGCAAATACTGCATCCTTCAAAATCCTTTAAATCAAAATGTAATTTGATTACTATTTTAATTAATTATTAGATTGACATTTTGCGTTTTATATGTAAGTTGTACAAGCTACCTAGAGTTCTGGTTTCAAGTGGCAGGCAAATCCCAAAAATATGTAAGCAAACAAGCAAAGTTTGTAATGAAACATTTTAGATTTTGCTGTTCTTCTCTGGGACTTCTCAGACAGGAAAAAAAAAATCAGAAAATTCCTCCTTGCAGAAAGTAAACAGACAGATGCATAAATAAGAAATAAAACAACACACAATCTAAGGATAAATGCTTCTCAGGTAGCCCTAAATTCAGATGTCTTTGGGTCACCCAACAGCAACATTGGTTCTATAATTCTATGTCTAACTAATAAGAAATGCCATGTGAAGATTACTGTTTGGTCTTTGTAACATGTTGAAAGTTGTTAGTACAGCTGAAGAAGAACAAGTCAGCTTGTCTCAACCATATAATTATTGATGTTTTGGCCATGGGTCACAATGGCTCTTAATTAAATATAGTTTCTAAGGACTTAAATGCATCAGCAATGCTACGAGTTTTACATGTCTTCATTTGATGGAAAGAGTATGGAACTTTAATCTTTCTGCTATTTTTCAAATGTGGCAGCAAACATTTCACCATTTCCTACTGATACAAGGGATATAAATTAGTTGTTCTAGCCCCCTTTTTCAGAATTTGATTTTGTGTCTCAGAAGGACTTAAACTTTATTACATGGAAACAAGAACCATCAAGAACTCTAAATCAATCGTGAATCATCACAAAACCAGATTAAACAAAAAAGTAATTTATGTGTACGATGATCTGCTATGTCTAAAGATCTGCCAAGAAGCAATTAAGCAAAGATTCAGCAAAAGCTTTTGCGACTTTAAAATCAATAAAGACAGAGTACTGAATGCAAATGTGCAGCACTCCTTTCCCATTGCATGATTTTCACTAGTCAAGAGGAGTCTGGGACTTGACAGAAGCTCCCATTTTACCTCCACATCTGCAGGTAAGACTGAAAAAGGGCTTCAGTGGAAAGCAATTTTTGGCCTTTGCCTTCTGCAAAACTGTACTGCAAACATAAAAAGGATTAATTTAACATTTCAACCTATACTACAGACCCTTGCTCAACAACAAATATCCTATCATTATGTTTCTTCCATAGTTATGCAATTTATTTAAAACTCAATTGGATCTTCTGACAGAATAAAACAAACTCTATTTGAAAAGGCATCGATATCTGCCTTCTCATGGACAAATATGGTTGATCAACTAAGGAAATATTTTGTTTTTATCTTGGGACACTGGGCTTGAAAAGTACAGGTGGTAAAAGGCATCAATTTAGTTTCAGAAACAAAATGCATCTGAAAATCAATTCCACTTTGAGTTTGTGTAACATGGCAGAATATAAATTATGTAAATAAATAAAATACAATATACACCATTTGAAATGTTAGAATAGATGGATGATAGCATATGGGGACAACTATGTTATCAGAAGCCTCCATAAGCGCTATTGTTAATTTGGGGGGGGGGGGGGGTCATGTTAACCCCTTTTCTTCTTTTATGCAGTTTTCTTCTCCATGCAAAGGCCTCTGGAGAGAAACAATAAATAAAACGCCTTAAATTTGCTAAAATTATAGAACAGCTTTTGCATAGTTAAATGAGAGTTTATCAATGTGAAGTCATTTAGATCCTTGCTTCAATACAACAAATATCTTATATCTCATTTTTTCCCATTTATTTTAACTGGATACCAGTATACCATAGTCCCACTCAGACTAGACAAAGCAGGATGAACTGGGTTAAAATCCCACAAAGAAAATAAATTTTTGTAAGAAAATGCTGTATACATGGCATGAAGTAGCATGGGTTTAAGCTAAAACCCTTAAATAATTGGCTTAATAAGAGTTGTTAAATATTTAATAAGGCTTAGAATTGAATAGACAATTTATTGTTTTTTAATAGAGTCTAACTTGAATCTTTCAAAAGTACAGGCAAAAACTAAGACAAAAACAGAACACACAGTTATGATAGGATGACTAAAAAAAATTATTACAATTAAGCAATAAAAATTGTTGAGTCACTTGTTGAGATGGGAAATCAAACAAACAAACAAATACCTTCAATCTCCAATTATCTCCTACTTCTCTTTTTATTCTATTTAACCAATTTTCATCGAAATATATTGGATCTCTGAAAAAATAAGAGCAGAATATTTTGTTAAGAGTATTTCCCTTTGAACGTATATGTAATGTAATGTAATACATAATATAATATATGCATTGCTCACAATCTCCAACCAAAACTTTAAAAAGTTTAATGCTTCATCCAAAATTACTAGTTTATCAGCTAAAATCTGATAGTTCAGATATTACCAAAAGTGGCTTTCACACTATATTCTACGGCAATCAAGAAGATTTAGAAAAAGTTTCCAGAAATTTGAACAGCAATAACTTACAAAATACAAAAAGTATTTTCATATAACATGGAACACAAAATATTCACACTGAGTACCAACGTTTAACTTTATTTTACTATTACTATTATTTTTTTGCATTCTAAAACACTTGAATAAATTATTAATGTTTTCTTTTTCTACACCAAAATGTTTAATATATAAATTCTTCACAGGGTTTTAGTTATTTAAAACTACATATAATCCTAATCCTATCCAGCTAACTATTCAAGTTATCCTCAACATTTAATTGATAATATAACAGTGTAAATTCCCAATCAATATCAATTATCCAAATGATTGAAATTTAGTGTTCCATTTTCAGCTGTACTTATAGAATCCACAAAAGAAATCACCAGAAATATTAATAGTACCTATAATTCTCTTTGAGAATTATTTTATTTAGAAAATGTTATATTCAACAAAAGCATAATTCACAATTCACAATTTCCCATAAATTGCAAGGTTCACCAAAATTAGAGAAATTATTTTTATTAAAAATATACATATAACATACACACACACACACACACACACAAAATAACATTTCCAGATCTGATAAACTGATTCATCACTCTGTAAATTTAATATTCAAATTTTTCAGTACTTTTTTCAAGAGTAATTGACCATATTTTAGCACACTATTTTTGAATTGTTATCAACAAACTCCACTGTTATTATTAATGTAATAAATAAATTTATTAATTTAGCCAATAGAAGTAAAATATAACAAGTTCCTTATTATATAATTTAGCAATGTATTTCTTTTCCATATTATATAATTTAGCATAACATGAAAATGTTTGACAAATGCAATTTGGAACTGCATTTTTGTTTAGTCATAATTCTTCCAGAAAGGTACTTTTACACATATACTCCACTTATGAAAAATGCTCCTTTCTCCTGATAAGCCCTCCAATATTTTCTTTAATTGTGAGATATTTGTGCTACTCTTATTGGAATTAAATGGCAGCAATAATATCTTCTACTGCAGCTGTTATATTGAAACTGATAAAAACCCTCCAGTTCACTTTTGAACAAGTTACTAATCAGGGTAATCTCTCTGATTGAAAAGTGGGAAAACCAGATTAGTTACTCATACAGAAGTATGAGTGTACCATGCAGTCTTTTCATACAGAAGTGTACCATGCAGTCTTTTCTGGACATGGGTTCTTCAGGGACAAAGGACTATTTATTTATACTATTATGCATTGGCACACAGTTGAAGAATTATTGATTTAGCACATACCTTCTTTTTGTTATGCCTTTCTACACCTGCAACAGCTGTTTCCTCTAGTATCTGATCTTTGAAACAGCGGTTGAAATGTTACTGTTTTAGAAGCATGTGACAAACTAGAATTGTCATTCCGCTGGACACTCTTTTTAAGTTATAAGCTATTACATTCACAGTTTCCATCAAGAGTATGTATTTTAATATATATTTGGAAAAATACATTTCATTGTGCTCACCTTTCACTAATTGTATGAGAATGGATAGGAAGTAAAACTTCTCTTACCACATGATCCTGAAATCAACATTACTACCAGAGCTAGAACACCAGCTATATTCCATTAATGAATGTAATCATGTGCTCATAGAATTTGTTATAACAAAGATAATTAATGTTGGTCACCTTAAACTAATATCTATTGCAATGGCTGGGTTCACATATCATGTTAAGCCATGATTTATTTTAATCATTATAAATAATGGTAGTCATTACCAATGCTACTTTGGAAAAATAGTTATATGGGGACTTTATTAAACAAATATTCACTGATAATGTTTTGCCATTGTTCTAACTACAGCATCACTTAGTGAACATGCAGATCTATTTTTATTAAGAGATATATTTTTCTTTTTTCTTGCATTTCCCATCTCAGAACTTAGGTTATTTGTTCCTCTGATAGAGTTGTTTTCTGTCTTATGCAAGCTACTATACAAGACACATATGTATTGCACTACATATAAATCTCTTACTATTTTAAATAATCTACTTAATACTGAATTAACTTAAATATTGTATTGGCAAATTTAAAATAATGCCCTCTCAATAAAGGAAAAAATTGATAGTTTACCTTCAATGTTATATTCTCAGGAGATCCAAAACAATCCTTCCATTTTGTGGAAATAACTAGCTTTCTTTTCATATTAATACAATAATTCTGCAAATATGAAGCTTTTTTCAACTACAGTTTCATAAAATTAAATCTTAGTATAAACTTCTTCCTAAATTATGTTTCTCTTGTCTACATATTTATATTTTCTGTGCTTAAAGAAATTCTGAGACCTTACCTTATCTAGCTTGTTCATGAATTCAACTCACATCTTACAGTTTTAAAAAAATCACTGCTCAATAGTAAGAAAACTAGAGGTAATAAAATGAAATAGAAAACTGACACCAGTTTTTTTGATGCAGAAAACTGAATCTGAATAAAACCATACATTTACATTTATTTACAAAAAGATCATCTTACATCTTTTGAAGTACTTGAGCCATTACAACTCCATTTGTTAAATCTTCTACAGTCTGGCATGGTGCTTCAACATTAAATGTCTGGATCTGAAGAGAAATAAACTTGTGTTTAGTGAAGCTATATCAAATTCATTATTGTCAGGTTCAGCCCAAGAATTCAGCTCAGCTTCTTTATTAGCTTGCACCTAATAGACAGAATCTCGCCAGACTAACTCTAATCCCCCAATGACAGCAATTATAACATCATGCCCTTAGGTAAGGGCCAGTCTCTTTCTCTTGACTTTCACACAGTCCATCTGGGGGCTGAGAAGATGCTTTCCTTGGACTATCTCTCCCCTCTCCTTGTAACATTGAAGCTCCATTCCAGAATCCTCCCCCCTCATGCCTTCCATCACAATTATACCAGCATATCAAGAGATTTCTGAAATTGTACAAAGCTACAGAGTTGTACAAAGAACTGTGGAGAGAAGTGACAAAAATAAACAAGTTAGACCAAAGAAATAAATACAAGATCTTGGTTAGTATAAATGTATTCATGTAAATAATGAATGGGTGAATTAATTTCTGTAAACTTGGAAGGCCCTATTTTAGCATCACATCTGTAAGGAAGTAATTGTTTCTCTGCCATTTAATGAGCTTCAATGGATTGAATATAGTATAATAATATTATATAATATGTATTATGTATTATTTGTAAAAGCAACATGTGAAAATTCACACACTACCTCCAAAAACCGCTAACATCTGAAAAAGTTATACAAGAATCATGATTAGTCATAAAGCGTCCCCAAGAGGTGAAGCTCAATTCAAAGGAGACTTTTTAAAATATACCCTTTGTCTATTTGAATCAATGGTATCGTCATCCTTTTACCAAACCTTTTGCTATAAGGACTCCACCAGGGTAGTATCTGAATAGAAATTACTAGAGGGCTAATTGAGTCTTCCCCAAAGGAAAAAAAAACACAAATATCTGCATAACAATAATGCAGTAACTGTGTGTAGCAGTAGTTTAATATATTAATTTTTCAGAAGCAATATAGGGTTTGGCCTCTCCTATAAAAGGACAAGAGGTGACGGACTGCTCTCTTCTTCCCATATTCTATGCCAAAAAGGGAAAAGTCATTCCACAAATATTCTAAGTATGGGAGAGGATGAAAGAAGCTAAAAACCAATGGCAGAATACTTAGCCTCCCCCCCAAAGGTAAACTTTTGTGCAGCTCCGCCCTCCAAGGATCCAATTTTCCATTTTACTAGATTTTACAGCAAGGAATATTTTTTGGCATCCAATATGTTTCTAGCTCTATTCTTGGTCCCAAACTGCAAATTAAGAGGAAGCAACTGGAATTTTTAAAAGAGGTCTACTTCCTTTTATGAAGCAGATGTAAAGGAATCTATCTGGTAACTCATAAAAATGGAGGCACTACAGCATAATTGATTTGTTCTTCAGTAACCTCTGACTATTATAAAGTTGAGTATAAAATAGAAAAAAGTTAATAATAATTCACAATGTTATTAATGATTTTGAGCCAGCCACTCTCTCTCAGTCCAACCCACTTCACAGGGTTGTTATTGTGGGAAAATAGGAGGAGGAAACATTATGTATACAGCCTTCAGTTGTAAAAAATTAAGGTGGGATAAAGCTAATAAAGAAATGGTGAGATATTGCAACTAGGCTTGTCTTACAACTATCTATCCAGTCTACTAAAGTTCAAGAGACTAGAGAAATAATAAAGTTGAGAACAAGTCTGATATAGAATTGGGAAAAATAGTGTATCCATGTTATGATGAAGTCCCCATACATCCACCAAATGAATTCCAACATATAGGTTTTTAAAACTTCCCATGTACAGGGTATAAACTTGGAGGGTAATGCTTAAAAGTTCGTGACCCCTTTTGAATTTTCAATATTTCTGCATAAATATGACCTAAAACATGACCTGTTCTCCACAAAAGTCCTAAAACTAGATAAAGCGAACACAATTAAACAAAGATTCAAAAACACTATACTTGTTCATTTATTCATTCAGGAAAATGATCCAAAGCTATGTATTTGTGTCTGGCAAAAGTATATGAAACTGGTGTGTCCCCCTCAGGCAGTAATAACTGCAATGTTTCTAATAACTGTTGATCAGTCCTACACATCAGCTTAGAGGAATTTTGGCCCATTCCTTTTTACAGAACAGCTTCAATCAGGGATACTGGTGGGCTTCCTTGTGTGGAGAACAGATCATGCTTTAGGTCATATTTATGCAAAAACAGTGAAAATTCAAAAGGGTCACAAACTTTTAAGCACCACTGTATGTGTCCAAATGTGTGTTACAAACCAACAAAAGAACTAAAACTTGATTACAGCCCCCAGACATGATTTGATCAACTTTTATATTAAAAAAAAACTATTCAAAACATCTATATAGAGCATCTAGATGGTCCTAAAAAATTAAATGATTCAGTATAATTCCCAGAAGATTTAAATACCAATATTAAAACATATCCTTCTGGATCACATCTTCTGTTGAATTATGAAATTTGAATATCTGTGGATCAAAATACAGTAACTACACCTCTAACAAATCTGAATTGCTAAATTTGTATACAATTGCATGAAAACATTTAGGCAGCCCTGGTCTAATTGTATGTTTCAATGAATGCTTAAGTGAAGAAAACCTGACACAACCTGTACGTGGTACTTAATTAAATTCTGCAAATTTGAATGCATTTGACGTACACAATTGTTCTCAGCATATACCACTGAAAATAACTTCCTATTAATAGAAACAGGAATATCTTTGTATAATGGCACATAAGTGTATGAACAGTGATATTGGTGCAAATTTCCTTTAAAAAGATTGGTATAAATTTACCTAAAAAATAATTACAGTGTTTCCCAGCCCTGGAGACCGCAAATATTCAGTCAAAATCTTTCTCAAAAAAACAGGAAGTTAACACCCTGAAAAAAGGAGAAACTTTTTTAGCCTGCCTATGTTCACTCTAAATGGTTTTATTTGGAAAGTGTTTTAACTAAACAAGCCTGTTGTTCTACTGGTCATTTAATCCACTCTAACGAGTTCTTGAAATGTTCACAAACAGGTTAGAACGCTTGGGTCGACATGAGAAGTTTTATGACCATCTCAACTACAAGTTTAATATATTTGGCAGCACCTAGTGACTTTGGTTGATGTCAGAAGCTAAGCAAGATCAGCCTTGCTTATTACATGGATGGGGGAATTACCTCTGAACCCCATGGTTGTAAGTTAGACTGGTAAGTCAAAGGGGGAAAAAACCCTAGAAGAAAGCAAATGAGAAAGCACTTCTGTAACGCTGCCAAAAAGGTTGCATGATGCAATTACCATGAGTCAAGCTCAGCTTAAGGGTCAGTCAAAATAAGTTTTTGGTAATTTTGCAGAATAATCCTCCTGTAATTAACTATAATTAATTTTGAATAAAAATTCTGGAACTTACTTTTTTATTGTAAATATCAAAATGGAACAAAACTATCACAAAATATGACAGGTGTAACTATCAAGTTTCTTTGCTGCTGCACACTACTTGGACTTAACAATGCTTTTATTTATCCATTTTATTATTCGCTATTAGCTGCTTTAAAATCAAAGGAAGTAAAATGTTTCATTATATTATATAAATTTGTATATTAACAAATTAACACTAACACTAACAAATTAGTGTTGTATATTTTCACCAATAGTCCCAACATGAACAGGCACTTTTATATACAGCAAACCCTTTCAGACAGCATATTCATAGTGCAATAAGATATGATTTATTCAACCAGAAATTAGCTGAATGCCTATATACTCCTTTCCTCCTTTAACCATCTTTTGTGTAGTCTCTCTGCTTCCTCAGCATGATAAACCCAAATTTCTTGTGAAATCTGAACTAAAAAACCTAAGGTTCAAAACTTTAAAGAGTTACCAAGGCCAAATCAAATCAAATCAAATCAAATCAAATCTTTATTACGGTCAAAGACCAGCATAAAGTCCATTTCCTAGTTTGGTCAATGAAACAGAATTCTTGAATTAAAACAGAAAAGAGAGGGAATACAGGATCCATTCTCAGTCCCATAAGTCAGGAGTTTTCAAGCTTTTTCAGGCCACAGAATTTGTTCCTTTAAAAAATCCCAGAGCTCCTGATCAAGAGGCAAAGTTCTAGTGATAGGAAACTGGCTCTATTCCAGTGAACTGAGGGTTTTTTTGGCCTTTAGTCTTTCCCAGAATCCTGTCATGTTCCCTAGGGTTCTACGGAATCCAAGTCACTAGAACAATTTGAAAAACACTGCAATAAACCATGATGCATTCGAATTTTTTCTTACATCTGAATTGGGCTTCTGTTTCTTCTTGTTGTGGCCGCATAAATGGCTCTCTTCAGCAGTAACTATTCTAAAAGCCAACTTTCAAAACCATACTGTTTCACTGCAAAAGTAGTATGAAAAAGAATCCACAAAAAGTTGTAGATAATGTTAGCTCTGTGTATCTGCTTCTGTGGATGCCAGGCCATAATCCCAAACACAAGTATGTCAGAAAAATGATAAAAAATATTCTGAACTATTCAGCCCTGGACAGCATTTGAGAATTAAAGGCTACTACAAACAGCTCAAGTTTAGAAGTATGCTGATCAGACCATTTTTGTGAATTTAATTGCTACCAGCAAATTATTTCTGCACAGTGTTTTTTCTGTTAGAGCTTATTGAATTATATATGCTACTATAAATTATTCTTTTACACTTTCACTAAACAAGTTAAAAATCAGTATGAACTTTCTGGATATTTTAAATTCTAACCTGTCCTGGTTATGCTTTTTAAACACAGTACAATTTCTTTAAGTAAAATTGGTATACATAATTACAACAAGAGTGCATCAAATAAATCTGAAAATGTTTTCCAAAAATTATGCTACAGTTAATGTATTACAGTGCACAAATACATAAGATTCCAATTCTGGGTCAAACAAACGTATAACCATAAGAGTATTGTCTGAGAATTTGTGATGGTTACCTATCATGCATTATTTCAGATTAGCAATCCCTTCCACAAATAATATTAAAACCAATCAAAATGATTGATTCTA